CGCCACCTTAGGTGTATGTGGCTGGCGCCTTAGCCGCTTGAGCCACAGGCGCCGAGCCTATCTTTTGAATTTAAGTGCTGTGTATATTCATGTTAGGCGTAAGTCAAAAAACTAGTGTTATAATAATCTTTTGTATAAAGCTTTTCCCAAACAGTTCTCTTGGAGGAAACTTCCCTTCCCTAGAAGGTAACTGAATTACTACTATTTTTTATTTCTAGAATTCTTTTTAAAAATGAATAATTATAATAATCCAAATATACAGAGAAGTACAGAAAACACAGAATGTCCCCTTGCACTTTATACCCTCCAAATAGAACCAGTTAATGACTTCATTCATCTTAAATTAGTTTTGCCTAATTTTGAACTTCATGTGCTTGGAATAACACAATATATTGCATATTTAAACTAAATATTCCATCTTGTAATAGATATTGCTTTGTAACCTGCTTTCCCTGCTTACTATCTCATAAACATTGTGCAATTATAACCTCCAATAATCTCCCTTCCTTCCTCCCTCCCTCCCTTCTTTTCCTCTTTTTCCTTTTGCTCTCTCTCCTCCCACTAGAATCATATTTTTAAATTGCTCCACTATTCATAATATGTGCTTGGTTATACTTACATAATTATTCTATCCTTTTTTATTCATGAGGTAAGGGGAGCTGAGAGAGTCCCTTCAAGGCAGCAAGTATGGTAACTGGCACTCAAATCTGCATTTCAGGCTCTCATTTTTCCACCTCTAAAAAGCAAAGTGCTCAGAGCCTTCCAGAAGTCTTATATAAGGTCATTATAATAGCAACAAGAATGACTAATAAGTATTAATGGCCCATGACAAATGAACCAATGCCGTTAATTATCTTAATATGTATATTAAGCATATTAGTAATGTTTGCACAGGATTATTCGTGCAAATGGTATTAGCCTGTATCGGGGCAGTGGCTCAGCTCCTGACTCTGTTTCCAGATATTCAGTGGCCAGGACTTCCAAGGACACACCCTTCTGTAGCTCCAAAGAGCCAATCGATGCGCAGAAGGCGGGGTCTGGGAGCGACAACGGTGCTATCCAATGGGCTGACAGCGGGGCCTAACGTGGCCAATGGGCACGCTCCTCCGTGATGGTCGGAAGTGGTGAGGCAGCTCGGGGGGCCGTTGTTCGGTACTGGGGTTTGCAGGAGGAGGATCCAAGGCTGTGGCTGGCTGCTGGGGTTGGCGTCCTTCTTGTTCCAGGTGAGCGGCGGGCCGTTCCTGGGAAGCCTCTTGCGGCCTCCAGTTTAGAAAGAGGCCACCACCCCGAGGGAGGAGTGTGCGGGCGAGGGGGTTTTAGGCCTCGGGGTCGCGGCCTCGAGGAAAGGGTGTCCGCGCGGCGGCGTCTCCTCGGGTCGCGGGAGGAGGAGGCCGCGCTTTCTCCTCTGGAAGCTGGAGCCTCGGCAGCCTCTGGCGGCGCCGCCCCCTTGGCGGCCTTCGCTTGTGGGGCTGAGAAACGGGCGTCGCCCGCAGTGCTGCGGTGCCCACTGCGTCCCGGTCGGAACTGGGCTAGGTGCCTGAACTTGAAGTCCGGGTCTCGAGCTGCCGGCGTGGGGGTCGTGGTTGTCGTGGGTGTCGTGGGTAGCCTGGTGTGGCCTCCGTGGACCCGGGTTCGAGCCCCTACTCTGACCAGCTGGTGCGGCGGGTAACTGTCTTTCTGGACTTTCACTTTCTTTCTGAAATTGAGATGATGACTTTCACCCCAGGTCTGGTCAGGATTAAAAGCATGTCGGTGTAAGCATTTAGCAATGAACCAACGCACAGTAAATCTGTTAACTGCTGTTCTTCGCGACTCCCCATCCGCGGCGACCTCGCTGGGGGAGGGAGTGGTTGGAAACCTCCTGGGTCTGAACTCTGCGGTGGTTAAACCTGCCCCCTCGGGCAGGGGGACGGTCGCATCGGACACCTAATGGCCTCCTGCTAAAGTTGAAGGCTCTTTTTTGTGTATGCCAAAGCCCTTCCGTGCAGTCGTCCGTTTACTTTTACTTCGACCTTTTAAAATATTGTCAGTATATGCCTGAGGGCCGGAGAGGTTGAGTCACACAAGTACTGAGTGGCAGAACTTGACCCCCGGAGGGGAAGCCCTGCACGCTGGCCCTCAATTCCTTTGCAGCGAGTTGGCTATTTAATGGGCTGGAATAGAGCACACCTAAAATCAGTCGGACAGTTTGAGAAAATTATCTAGACTTAAAGGAACCAGGTGATTTGTTTTCATAGGTAGTGCTTTCTGTCCTCAGTTAACGTTTCACATCAAAGTGAATTTCTTTTTTTTTTGCAGTTTTTGGCCGGGGTTGCGTTTGAATGCGCCACCTCCGGCCTATGGGGCCGGCGCCCTACCCTTTTGAGCCACAGGTGCCTCCCAAAAGTGGGTATCTTGGCTTAGTGAGTAGGGCACCGGCCCCATATACCGAGGGTAGCGTGTTCAAACCCGGCTCCGGCCAAACTCCAACAAAAAAATAGCCAGGTGTTGTGGTGGACGCCTGTTAGTCCCAGCTACTTAGGAGGCTGAGGCAGGAGAATTGCCTACGCCCAGGAGTTGGAGGTTGCTGTGAGCTGTGACTCCACGGTACTCTACCAAGGGCAATAAAGTGAGACTCTGTCTCTAAAAAAAAGAAAAAACCAAGGTGGATATCTTTTTATTTTTTTTTAAATTGAGACAGAGTCTCACTATGTTGCCCTCGGTAGAGCTATATGGCATCACAGTTCAAAGCAGCCTCAAACTCTTGGGCTTAAGTGATTCTCTTGCCTCAGCCTCCCAAGTAGCTGGGACTACAGGTGCCTGCCACAATGCCTGGCTATTTTTTTGTTGCAGTTGCCATTGTTGTTATAGCTGGCCTGGGCTGAGTTTGAACCTGGCAGCCTGGATGTCTGTGGCTGGTGCCCTACCCACTGAGCTATGGGTGCCGCCCAAAGTGGGTATTTTGAACACTGTCATTATATAGTGTAAAAATCTTTTTTTTTTTGGCTGGGGCCGGGTTTGAACTCACCACCTCTGGTATATGGGGCCGGTGCCCTACTCCTTTGAGCCACAGGCACCACCCTATATAGTGTAAAATTCTTCAGTGGTTTACCATAGAGTTTGGGATCTAATCCAGTATCCTCTCAGAACTACCTCAGTAAGACCTTGAATCATTCCCCTTTTGTGTTCTGCTCTTCCTTATCTACCTTTATTTTCCCTTTAATTGTTTGTAGACATTTTACTCCTTGTGGTGCCTGGATGACTCTCCCCCACCCACCAGTTTCATCCTCTATCTTTGTAATTTCCATGGCCGGCTCTTTGTAACTATGGTCTTATTTTATTTTTTTTTTTTATTTTTTGAGATAGATTCTCACTTTGTCATTCTTGGTAGAGTGCTGTGCCATCATAGCTCACAGCAACCTCGAACTCCCGGGCTTACGCAATTCTCTTGCCTCAGCTTCCTGAGTAGCTGGGACTACAGGTGCTGGCTATTTTTTGAGATGAGGTCTTACTCTTGTTCAGGCTACCTACCTCAGCCTCCCAGAGTGCTAGGACTACAGGCACGAGCCACCTTGCGCAGCCTGTGGTCTTTAGTTCTCTCTCAAAAGGGTCTCTGACCACTATTATCTAAGTAGATTTCTTCCGCACTCCATTCATACATGTCTGTATACTTTTCCATCAGAATACTCACTTTACGTTATTACATCAGACCCTATATTTCTTTAAAGAATTCTCAGATGCCAGTGCATGTGGCATGCAGTAAAGTCTTTTTTTTTTTTTTTTTTG